TCGAATTGCAATCCAAGGCCATTGAAATCGAACCGAATCGAACCGCAGGAATCGACAGGAGCCCTGTCGGGATGCGGGTTACTCTAGCAGGGGCAGGTCGACCCCTACGGACGTCGAGCTGCCAAAGGGAGCTGCCATGACGACGGCGACCACGACGACGACGCCGACGCCGACGACGACGACGACGACGACGCCGACGACGACGACGACGAAGACCACGACGACGACGTCGACGACGCCGCCGACGACGACGACGACGCCGACGCCGACGCCGACCACGACGACGACGCCGACGACGACGCCGAGGACGACGACGACGCCGACGACGCTGTGCGGGCCACGGCGAGCCTCGGCCACCAACGGGCTCTCCCCGACCTGGACCCGAGGAGCGCCCAAACACCAGAGCCACTCCTGGGCCCAACCCGAGCGGCTCCGACGTCAGCGCCTCGACTGCAGATCCCCGTCGTCGTGCGGCTGTCGAACGGGCCAACAAGTTGGGGCCCAGCTGTGGGAGAACTCTGCCAGGGCCAGAATCCGCGGGTCATGGCGTGTGAGATGCTTCCCCCTCCCCAAACCCCTCCCCCGGGGGCCTGGTCCGGCCGGTTTGGAGGGGGGGGTGGGGGGGTGGGGGGCAAATCGGCAAATCCATCATCCGGACACTTGGAGCTTCAGGAAGCCCCAAAACAGGCCAAAAACGTTCCAAAGGTTCCCGGAACGGTCCAAGAATCGACGAAAGATCGCCCCCAAACGCCGAAGATTGCCTCCACACGGCTCCATAGGTCCCCAAGACGTTTGACACAATAGTACGAGGCGCCCCAAGGAAGCCCTCCAGAAGCAAAAATCATCCCATTCCCTAGGGTAAGCTTACATTTTCACCACATTCGCCTATTCGGCTTCCACGCGGCGCAAAACAGCCCAAGCAGCCTCCAAGATCGACCCTCGCCAGCCCAAGAGGCTCCCAAAAAGGCTCCAAGACGGCGTCTGGGCGATAAACGAAGGCCCCAGAAACCAAAGCAACGGCTTAGGAAAGCTGCAGGACGGTCCCAAGAGGGCTCCAAAACGAGGCAAGAGGGCCCCCAAAGGCTGTCCGGACGGCCCACGTGGGGGACGATTCGGTCCAAACCGCGCCCAAGATCGCCGCTAGACGGCCCCATGGGTGTCCAAGACGTTTGAAAACGCGACCACGAGGCGCTCCAAGAAGGACTCCAGAAGCAACAACCGTCCCATTTCCAATGTAAAACGTACATTTTCAGCACATTCGCTTCTTGGACTTTCACGAGGCCCACAACGGCCCAAGAAACCTCCAAGATCGACCCCTGTCACCCGAAGAGGCTCCCAAGAAGGCTCCAAGACGGCTTCTGGGCGATCCACGAAGGCTCCAGAAACCATAGCAACGGCCTAGGAAAGCCGCAGGACGGTCCCAAGAGGGCTCCAAAACGGGCCAAGAGGGCTCCCAAAAGGCTGTCCGGACGGCCCACGCGGGGGACGATTCGGTCCAAACCGCCCAAGATCGCCTCCAGACAGCCCCATGGGCGCTCCAAGACGTTTGCATACGCGACCATAAGGCGCTCCAAGCAGGCCTCCAGAAGCAAAAACCGTCCCATTCCACTGGGAAAACTCACATTTTGAGCATATTCGCTTCTTGGGCTTCCACGAGGCCCACAACGGCCCAGTAAACCTCCAAGATCGACCTCTGGCACCCCAAGAGACTCTCCAAAAAGCTCCACGACGGCCTCAGGGCGCCCCACGAAGGCCCCAGAAGCCATAGCAACGGCCCGGGGGAACGGCAGGACGGTCCTAAGAAGGCTCCAAAACGTGTCTAGAGGGGCCTCACAGGCTGTACGGACAGGCCACGTGGGGGACGATCGCTGCCGCCCCAAGGGGTCGGCGGTGTGGCGTAGTAATCCAATGAATTTCCAAGTTGTTCAAATACCCAAAGGAGCACGGGCGTTTGGGGTGGACACGATGGGTGCTGAATGGAGGCCACCCCAGCCGAATGGGCCTGCGCATCTGAGGGCGTCCGTCATCGATATGGATGCGTCCGAATAGCCGCCCCGGGGCTATCCCCGAATACCCCACCTTCTCTGAGCGGCGCAATTTTTTGAGCGGAGCTCGGGAATTGGGGGCGATAAACGCCCGCCGACAATGACGACAACGGGAGGAATGATGCCACCAACGAAATCGAAACATCGGCAGTCGGGTAAATAATCCCATGCCGCTGAACCGTTCTCGCCCGCTCCTCACGGGTGGTACGAAGACGCTGACGAGGAGGGGCCCGAAGAAGATGTGAGTCTGGCTGGAAGCAAGAAACAAATGAAACTCCTCGTCTTTAGCAAAGACTAGTTCCTACCGGACTGGGCATCGCCCTGGAGCAGGCTGAGTCTGGCTGGAAGCACCCCCCCTGCCCTCCCTGGTTTGTCGGCGCGCAAAGGGGGAGGGAGGATCTTGAAGTCTCAGGTGTGTTTGGCATGCCTCCTGGGGATCCCTCGTGACCACGGGTGAACGTCGCTCGAACACCTTGTCGGTATGGCGCCTGGGCGAGGTCCAAGAACCGACTGCGGGCCAGCATGGATGGATGGGGACACGGCGAGGGGGGCCGCCTTCTCAGAGGGCGCACCCCCCTCTCACAAGCCCCCCTGCCTTCTGAGAGGCCTGAGGGGCCTATCCCATCTCGGCTAGAAGTCTTCAGCAACTCATGCGAGCCTCCCATACTATCTCTTGCATGTCGACGCTAATGAACGCTACGCTGCTCGACGCAACCTTGGCACTATCTCGTCGACTACCCGACGCCAGTCGACGCGAATGCGCTCTAAAGACGGAATTGCGAAGGCACACAAGGCTCCCATGATTTGCTGCCGAACTACTCGACCCCCCTCGGGGATCTACTTTGACCCGGGTCAGTCAGGCTTTGCAAAATCACGCAAGATCCTGCAGGATACTGCGACCCGGCCCGGGTCAATGCACCCCCGCTCAGCAGGATCCTGCAAGATCTGGCGCTCTGGCTGACCCCGCTTGCACTGACCCCCGGTCCCCTAAGCCCCGACCCCCTGCCTTCTTTATGATGGGCCCATTTTCCACCACCACTACCGTAGGTAGGAGGGGGAGGAGGAGGAGGAGGAGGAGGAGGAGGAGGAGGAGGAGGAGGAGGAGGAGGAGGCGGAGGAGGGGGAGGAGAGGAGGAGGAGGAGGAGGAGGAGGAGGGGGGGGAGGAGGAGGGGGGGGAGGCGGAGGAGGAGGAGGAGGAGGAGGGAGGAGGAGGAGGAGGAGGAGGAGGAGGAGGAGGAGGAGAAGGCGGAGGAGGAGGAGGGGGGGGAGGCGGAGGAGGAGTAGGAGGAGGAGGAGGAGGAGGAGGAGGAGGAGGAGGAGGAAGAGGAGGAGGAGGACCTCCTCATCCTCCCTTCTCCCCCGTCCTACACATGGTAGTGGTGGTGGGAAATCGGCCCATCACTTGAGCAGGCCTGCCCCCTGGCCCCAGCCCCGTTGTGCGCACCGCGCCCGCGGGCGTCGTGCCGACATCACAGGAGCGGGCCCTTCCGCCCCGCCCGGGTGCGGGGGGGGCCTTGGGACCCTCGCGGATCGACCCGGCTCGAGAAACGCGTGCGGGCAGACGGCTGTTTCGCGACGCTGTCTCAAACAAGAACCGTGTAGTCGCCTAAAAATTCTCACGTGCAGCCACCGCGCTGCCAAGAAGAAAACTGAACTCGGCGGTGGACAAACCTCCCTTTAATAAACCTCCCTGTAGTGAAAACGGCCTAGGACCGAAACCGACGGACATGGACCCGCAAAACTGACGGCCGCGACGCCCTCTCGCGAACCGAAACCAGTCAATTCGCTAATCGACGTGTCAGGGTAGGTCTATCAATCTCCGATGAACATGGAGCGAAGTGGGGCCGCGGCGAGGCTCGGCCCAGAATGGAGGCCCCGTCGTGGGAGGTTTGTGGCAATTTTCTGGCTCCGGGGGCCCTCGCTGGGCCCCAGGAGCGTGAAAAAACTGCCCCAAATGCAAAACTGGTCCTGGGGAAGGGGTCGGAACTCCCAGGGACCACGTTGAAGCACCGTCGGCACGGCGCCATCGGCACACGGCGTTGATCCCTGACGGGTTCGGCTCGGGGCTGTTGGCAGTGGCGGCGACCCCTCGCCGCTTGCCAAGGAGCGGTGCAATGTCTCTCCTCCCAGTTCCTCCTCCGCCTCTTCCTCCGCCTGCTCCTCAGCTCCTCCCATCCTCATACATTCTCCGTACTGCTCCCTCCGCGTACGCACCTCGCTCCTATCCTCCTCCTCCTCCTCCTCCTTCTCCTCCATTCCTCCTTCTGATGAACTAACTCCTCCTTGTCGCACCCCGATGCCAGTCAAAAAGGCGAGCCGGGCGTTTCGCCTGAGAGTTCCTCACCATTTCTGATCTTGAAGCTGTGACAGTTTCACGGATGGAGGGCGGGTAGTTTTCAAAATGTGGCGCTCGCCTCAACACCATGCATATTCGTCTTCAAAGTTTGTAGCAATTTCGCGGATGGAAGGCGGCTCCATTTCAAAATGCGGCTCTGGCCTGTGCGCCGCGCACTTTCGTCTCTAAGAGTTCACAGCAGTTTCAATCATTCTCATGGCTAACATCCAAACAATGGTGTTTGGGCACGATATCGGACAGTCAAGGCGCAACACTTACGTCGGCTCGTGGCGCTGAACCCAAGAAATTGTGCTCTGGCACGGCTCAACATCGTCAAGACGCAACAGTAACGATGATTCGCGGCGTTGGAATTCCAGGAATGATGTTCTGGCACAGTTCAGGATTCGCAAACGCTTGTCTGCCAACGGGGCATTTCCCTCAGTGAAAATGAATCCTTGCAGGGGCATGTGATGAGAGAACTTGGAGGAAAGGCTTATTGCAATATAGTTGATAAGTCTCGAGCTTACATTGGTCATCCTCCTTCTCTCCTCCTCCTCCTCCTCCTCCTCCTCCTCCTCCTCCTCCTCCTCCCCCTCCTCCGCCTCCTCCCGATCCCCGCCGTCTGAGCTGTGCGTAGATCAGCGCTGGCCCCACCATCGGAACGAACACCACGGACCTTCCCTCCCAATTCGGAGGAGGCTGAGGAGGGGCAGGAGGAGGAGGAGGAGGAGGGGCATGAGGAGGAGGAGAAAGAGGAGGGGCAGTAGGAGGAGGAGGAGGAGGAGGAGGAGGAGGAGGAGGGGGAGGAGGAGGAGGAGGAGGAGGAGAAGGAGGAGGAGGAGGAGGAGGAGAAGGAGGAGGCCCCCGCAAGCCCTTTGAGCCGAGAAGAAGGCTCCTGCCGGCGAGGCACAACGCACCTCTGGCGGGCTCTCGTCTGTTGTTTTGTTACCGGCCTCTTGGTCCCCACCTCCCACCGCCACCAGGGCGACCCCAGCAAGACCATCCCCAATACAAGCTGAGGATGTTGCCTACGGCGTTCCCTATCAAAGAGAAAGTGTTCGTCCCCAACAGAAGCTGAGGATGTTGCTTACGGCGCTACTTAGCAAAAAAACATGTTTCGCTTGAAACATGCTCAGAACAATGAAATGATGGAGATCCGGCGTCGGACATCCAACATGGTGTGGGGAAGCGTTTAGCCTGAGACATCCTCGGACAAAATGGCGTTGAAGGAGGAGTTGTCTAGTGACGTTGTTTATGCTCAAAGTTGAAGCTTGCGCCTGATACATCCTCGGACAGAAAAGAAATGTTGGAGGTCGAGCGTTGGATATCCAACATGGCGTGCGGAAGCGTATCGCCTGAGACATCTGGACAAAACGGGGATGTTAGGAGGGTCGTTTTACAAAGCTTTTACAAAGCTTGTTCTCAGAAGCAAAACTTTCGCAAGAGACATCCTCAAATATTAAATGTTGGAGATCGGACGTCGAACATTCAACATGGTGTGAGGAAGAAGGAGCTGCATTACACTGCTCATGCTCCAACATGAAGTTTTCGCCTGAAACATCTTCGGAAAAATGGGAGGTAGAAGATCGGGCGTCGGATATCCAACATGGCGTGGGGAAGCGTTTCGCCTAGGACATCCTTACATTTACGACGCTGATGCTCCAAAATGGAGCTTTCGCCTGAGATATCCTCAGACAGATGAAAGGTTAGAGATCGGGCGTCGGACATTCAACATCGCGTGTGGAAGCCTTTCGCCTGACATTCTCACACAATGGGGATGTCGGGGACATTTTTTACGAGACATCCTGAGAGAAATGACATGTGGGAGATCGGGCGCCAGACGATGTTGGACTTCTTACGACGCTGATTCTGAAAAATGTAGCTTTCTCCTGAGACACCCTCAGATAATGTAATGTTAGAGATCGGGCGTCGGATGTGGAAGCGTTTCGCCTGAGACATCCTCACATAATGGAGATGGTTGAGGATTTTCTTACCAAAAGAAATTAGAGTTTCGCTTGAGGCATCCTCAGAAATTGATCTGTCGAACTCGGGCGTAGGATGTCGGACTTGGTGTGGCGGGGCGGCTCGCTGCAAACATCCGTAGGAACAACAAAGGAACATATTAACTTAGCTCCCGAACTCGACGTGCCTTCAAGAGTCTGGCTCTCGCCTGGGACATCCTCACACATGGAGGCGTCACTAAAAACTTATGATAACTGATTTTTTGACTTAGATTCCTTACCGGGTTCGCGGGCCCCTCGAGTCGTCACAATTTTGACGCACATGCCTCGCAATGCGACGCCCGAATGCTGTGAGCCATTGCGCGGGGCAATGAGGAAGCGACGCGCCCTCCGCACTGAACACGGGTGCGTCGTGCGAACGCCTCCGTCAAGGGTAATTATACGAGAAGCTCCCTATGGGATGCGGTCCGAGCGGGGGGTGCGCCGAATTGAGTGTTGAACCAATCATGCTATGGTAACGCCCATCGAATCAGCGCTTGGGCTGCTCGATTAACTACCGTTAAGCAATCAATGCCGCTGCTTACTGGCTCCAATAAGACCGCAACGGGTCTCGGATCCGTTTTCCAAGGCCCCAGGGCCCGAAAGCGGCCGTTGGAGCCCGAAGCCAAGGAAAAACTGAAAACAATGCAAATCGAAAACGAGTCGTCATAGGAAGGAGGAGGAGGAAGAGGCCGAGGGCATCTCTGCACCGCGAGTTGCAGGGATGTCTCAGGCGAAACTGGCCGGATCCCCTTGTGCGCACCGTCTCCAAACCCAGGCAGACAAAAGACAAGGATGACGGGATCACCTCAGGTCACGGCATCTCCGAGCCCAGAAATGCGAGGACGTTCCAAGCGAAATGGGTCGGACCACCTCTCGCGCAGCGTCCGGGAGCCAAGAGTTGCGAGGACTCCTCAGGCGAAGCGGGCCAAAATATCTCAGATCCGGCCGTCTCAGAACACCTGCACGGCCCACATGAGGCACTAACAATCGCAACGACAAGATTGAACGGATGAGGAAGATGATGAGGGAGGATAAAGAGGTACAGGCAGACGAGAAGGCGCAACGACGGGGGGGAAAGTGTTATGGTACGGGCCGATGGGAGCAGCAGCAGCAACAAGGAGGCGAGGGGATGAGGATGAGGAGGGAGAAGCGGAAACGCGGGAAAAGAAAGAAGGGGGGGGGAGGATGAGCACGAGATGGATGGGGGGAAGGAGGAGCAGGAGGGGGCAGGATTGGGAGCGGGAGAAGGATGGGGTGGGCAAGGACGACGAGGCGGCCCCCCGCGCACTTGACCGAACGGGACCCCCTGTGAAGCTGCATCGGCGCTCCCCGACCAAGCTGGCCTCCTCCCCCACCTTCCTCCTCCAGCGGCCGACCTCCCCCGCCTCCGACCTTCGCTCGGCACGGGCCTCGGATTCGCGTCGACGGATCCCGTCGTGTGCTCGGGCACGGAACCGACGGAAGCCTGCCGACCAAAAACTGTCGCTCATGGGCGGGGCCCCGACCTCATCTCTGGGACCGGCTTTCTGTCGCGGGGCGTTCTCCCCACCGCCCGAAAGTTGGAGCAGCCGTTGGATCAGAAGTTCACATTCAGGGAGGCCAAGGAATGCCCAGCAGAAACACACATTCAGAATTTACATTCAATATGTTGGATTCGGTTATGTGCGAAGCCCCTCTGCGAACACACGTCGCTATACTGGAATGCCGTCGAGAAGCAGCCCTCGCTACGGATCATTATCTGGTGATTGCAAGACTTGCGATACCATGGGATACCCAAGTGCCGTATGAAAAAGACTTCCAAATAGACATGCCGTGCAAGATCCGATTGCATGGAATACGTACGTGGACGCTTTCTTGAAACATATTCTATCATCGACGGCGGAACCGACAACTTTGGAGGAGATGTCGGACCAAGGGGAATCAGCAATGCACTTCGCTGCCCACACGCTTCAGAACCACCACACAGAAACGCTCACACCATGGATCACGCAGCGACCGCTTAACTTGATCGCCCAGCGCAGCCAATCACGATCAAGATTCGACAAATTCAATGAGAAGGGTATCTTGAAGGAAGCCCGCAGAGCGTGCAAGCAGTATAAGACCACTTGGGAAGATGCACAAATATCGACTGAAGCTGGGATGCTCTGAGAAGCTGGCCCAAGCCGCGACGACAGGGAAGGCTCAACAAATGAGCGACGAATTGGTGGACAGCACGCAAAGAGCGGACAACATGGCTGCCAATTTTTAGAAAGTGCAATGGAAACTACGTGTAGCAGAGTTGACCGACCATGAACTGACCCACTACCAATATTGGACTCAAAACCTACAACACGAGAAGTGATCTCAATAACCAATAACTTCTTGCATGGACGAAATACTGGCAGAGTATTAAGAGCAAGCTACAGACCCCGGTGGGATCGAATGTATTACGGATTATGTAACACATGTTGGAAGAAGAGACCGTGCCAATAGACTGGAAGCAATCGATTATTCCAACGATCTATGAAAACCCAGGGGGCCCTCGACAATTACGTCAACGATCGCCCAATCAATTTGTTATGTGTGGCCTGCAAGCGCATGGCGGCGCTCATCCTGAAGCGGCTACAAAACGGTGGGGCTGAGGACAACCTAGCACCTACACAGTTTGCATTCCGTCGGGGATGTTGGACATCAGACGCGCTACATGTTGTTCGTCGTTGTATCGACTTGGCATTCGCAGACAAGCATGGGAGTGTAGATTTCGTCGCAATGGATTGGGAGAAAGCGTTCGATTCGTTCAAAGTTGCCGCGCTGGTGGAGGCTGTACGAAAGTTCGGGGTCCCCAGCCGCATCCTGAACATCATCGGCAACATCCACGGTGGCAGGGCATCTCATGTCGCTGATGGACGATGAAGGTCCTGAGAAAGGAGTCACATGTCCTGGATCGCGCAATGCTGCCCGTTGTCCCATTTCTTGTTCAATATTGGACTGACACCTGTTCTTCAGGACGCTGCGCGGCGTGCAAGTGTTGCAGTACGACAGGCGTTTGCGGAACAAACCTTGGGGATTCTTTTGTATGGCGATGGTACATTATTGATTGACCGCAATCCAAACCTATCACAAGCGCTTTGGTCAGAAACCACGCGAGCAGGAGCCCGGGTGGGCATGGAGCTTCACTGGGGCAAACTCCGACTTATGCCAGTGCGATGCGATATCAATCGCCTCACGCGGAGTAGCGACCAAATCGTGGCAAAACATTCGATGGTGTGTCGTGGTGCCACGCTTTCCAGTTCAGGGCGAGTTCTGTGAATATGAAAGTGCCTGGAAGCAAGCGGCGATGATCAATACAACGTGGAAACTCAAACTATTCCAAGCACTCGGAACAAGCAAAGCGACGTACTCTTTGAACTCAGCATGGGCCAAGACAGCAGCGCGAAGAAGATTGGATGGTTTTCAATATGTAGGTCCTTGCGACGAATACTACACATCTCCCTGGCGCATGTTTTGCGAGTTTCTAACAACAGCGTGTTGTTACAATCTGGTGAGCAGCCTTATACAGCTCAAGTGTTAAAGCTTTTTGCGTCGGCGGCTGGGCAGGGGCCGTCTGCGCTGGCGATAGGGCTACCTAAACGGGGATACCGTTGTAGCGAATGAACAGCAACTTTTAAAACATCAACTCCTGCTATTCGGAAATATTGGCATTGAGCAGGGACCGACCGTCCCGGCATTCCTATGGGTCAACCACGAAATCTTCTTAGGACCCGAAAATGTGCGAATTTCCAAAACAATCTGTTCTTAGAACATTAACCCGATGTGATAAAACAAGACAGTCCCAGCCAGAAATGCTCTAAGAACAGTTCGTGGAAACCACAAAAAGGTTCTCAGAACACTGTTTCGTAGGCCTATAGGCAGGCCGAGACGCTTCGCCACTGCTTGTTGGCAGGGCTACCGCCTCCAAGCCTCTGTGCCGTCTCGCCTTCCCGCCCGGCAGCCCGAGGCCGGCCACAGACGCATTTGCGCCGGAGTAGCGGGGAGCCCGAGGCACGCATGGGCGAACACATTGTTCGCTTCTGTCGTGCAGCACTTCAGTCGGGGGCGCGCCAACATGGATTAGCGATCCATTTATTTGGCGCGCGGTCGCCAAATCCATGGATCGGGGGAGGTGCCCTCCCCAAAACGCGGCCAGTGCCCCCTCGTTGGGCGGCGGAAAACCGCGATTTCCCATGCAAACGGGACCCGTCGCTAATCCACGCCCCCTTGATCCATGTTTGCGATCGCCTGGTTTGGTGCCTCGGAACACATGATGGACTGCGTTGGCGATCCAGTTGCCTGGCGCGAATACGTAGCTAAGGTTGCGTATTCCCCTTCGGGCCCTCCTTCTCCTCCTCCCCCTCCCCCTCTCGCTCCCTCTAAGCGGGTGCACATTAAATTCGCCGACCCCTTGTTGGTCTCTAGGCGTGTGAGGTTATCCCCCCCCCAAATCCCCCCCCAGGGACCCCAAACCGGCAATTCGACCCCCCCCCTCGCCCAGCCCGACCCCGGACCGAACGCGCCACGGGGGAGCGGAGGGCTCCAAAACTGGCCAAGAAGGCACCAAAACGCTCCCAAGAAGGCACCAAAACGCACCAAAACGCCATATCGCCCTGGACGCCCACGATGGCCTCCAGGCGGCCACCGAAGCTGTCAAGACGCCCCAAAAGGCTCCCAATATGCGCCCCCCAGAGGGTCCCAAGAAACAGAAATCGTCCCATTCCCTCCGAAAAACAAGCGTTGTTCGCATGCTCGCCTATTCGGTTTTCAGAACGTCCCAGACGGGCAAAGAAACCTTCAATATCGCCCCGAGACGGCCAAAGGAGCCCCCAAGAAGAGTCGAAGAGGGTCCAACAACAGCCCCCGAAGCCCCCAAGACAGCCCAAGAGGGCCCTCAGACGGAGCCCAGAGGGCCCCCCAAACTTGGCCCAAGATGCCTCGAGGCGGCCGGATATGGCCTGCAGATAGGCCAAGATGCCACCAAAAGGCCACAAGAAAGCACCAAGAGTTACGATAACAGCAACGAAGCAACAGGAACGATGTCGAGCGCCGTGTCATGATTCGGACAAGCCTCGTGGTATGCAGTCCTGGAGGCGCAGTAGTTTATACAGGGGTCGGCGGATGTGGCGTAAGCCTATATATAATCATATCCTATGTTGCCTGCGCCGCTGCAGAGAATCGTGCGAATCTGTGCGCGCTGGCACACTTTACTGAAGGCTAACTGTTACTTGGACATCTGATTTCACGTGGCTCGCAAAGGATACGCAGCTTCGTTGCTCACACTTCGTGCAGGCACGAACTCCCAAACACAAGCTCTTGCACCAAGAACCTCACATGTGGCAACATAATAATTCGCATGACCTCCCCTTCGACCACCAGATCATCGCCCAAAAGCGCTTCGACATGGTGTGCCGCGGCACCGAAGTGCCCACCTTGTCCTCGGACAGTGGTTCCGCTGGATGAGACGCTGTCGTCTGCGAAAGGGGGGGAATTGGAAAGACAGAAAGATGAACCGCCATGCAAAAGAGCCCAAATGGAATTCGAAATCGCTGGAGGGAGGCTGATCCATGGACCCGATTGCCAGCGACCAACACTGAAGAACACGTTGAAAAGACATGCTACATGTTGCCCGCGCTTCGGCCGAGCGCGCTCGGTGGACAAAGCACCACAGGAATCGTGGTCTACACTAGGAACGTTCGCGGGGTGAAGAAAGCGTATTGGTACTGGACCCCCTGATGAGTCATCCAATCGATGCCTCTCCTGCATGTCCACAGTGCCTCCTGGGATGGACATGGTTTGCCATCCCCTCGCCCAGGCCAACGATTCTTCAAACCACGCCAGCAAGCCTTTCACCCGACTTCATCCTGGCAGTTTTGCAAAGCCGATTCCAGACGTGGCAACGAGACCTTCAGGATGATCGGAGAAGAGTTGGTTCTGAAGCACGGTATTGCTCGCAGGAAAATTCCACATGCATCGCCTATGTCGTCATCCACAGACCAACATGCACGTTCCATGTGTAATCACAACGTGTGCAAGTGCACAACATCATAGCACGTCGCCAGTTCGCCATATGCATGACTCCATGACTATACACTCGAATCGTCGCGTGCGCTTCGGGGAACGAATGAGCAGGTCGGCCGCGACAGCGCAAGAAGGCGTCAAGCGCGAGATAGGCGGGTGGACGCGTCGGCCTGCCCACCCACCCCGCCCGATGGATACCTTCCCTGGCCACCCCGACGCCGTGGGCGAGAAGGTTCGGGTGGGTACGTTGGAAGGCCTGCTGCGCTCGTGCAGACCCACAGGAGGAGGGAGCAGGTAGGCTATAACAAAGAGGGGAACGAAGAGACGTGGATTGGGAATGGGAGGGCGAGGCCGAGGAGGAAGAGGACGAGGATGCGACGGAGGGGTTGGAGAAAGGTCCCCCCTGGAGGTACGGCCTTCGGACGCTCGGCAGCCGCGGTGCGGCGCCCGGTCGCGAGGTGCTGCAGCGGAGGGGTGCCGAGCTCCAGGAGGCAAGCGGGTGGGGGGAGGCCTGGGGCCGACCAGCCTTAGGTCGGGCATGTCCTCCTACAGGCGGGTTTTGGACGAGCAAACAGAAATAGTCAAAACATATAGGGAAATAGGCAAAAATAGTCGAACATCGTACCCAGACTGTTGTTTGACTATTCTCGAATATTCCTCCTGTAGAGGGACATGCCCGACTTGCGCCTGGGGCCGGCCAGCCTCGCGCCGCGCGCTGCGCGAAGAGCGAGGCTCGGCCATCCTCGGGCAACGCTCCGGCAGGAGGGCCGCGAGCTACGACGCGCGATCGTCTTCGCGCCCCCGCGCCGCGGGTCGCCCGTGGGGGGGATGGACGCGGCGGAGGGGCGTGAGCATGTTCTGGTTACCCCAAAACAAGCAGCTCCTCCCACGCGGTGACGGTGGCAGCGAGGCCGATTCCCTCACTACTCCCACTCGCCCAAGCCAGCAGAGTAGCCGCTGAACCTCTGCATTCAGCACCACTTCTCAGAATCATACGAAAGAGTTTTCACACAGCCAACGGAACGCGGCGGGAGGGACGTGAGGGAGGACGAAAACGGATGGGAAATGGTAGAACAACGACGGGGTGTGATCGCTGTCTGGCGGGCTGGCAACTGGAGGGGGTTGGCGACCACCATGGGGCGCCAATCCTTCTCGACCGATCTCCCCTTCCGTTTCTTCCTCCATTCCTTCTCTCCTTTCCTGCTCTTTCTTGCTCCCCATGCCCTTCCCGCCAATCTCTGCCTCCTTTTCCTCACACTCTCCTCTCCCCTTCTTATCATTATCCGCCTCCTTTGTGGCCCTCTCCCCTGCCCCTCTCATCCCTTTCACATCCCAACGCACGGCAACGCAACATGTGATGGGGCAATCGTGATCAAGCGAAGGGCCAATCCTACATAACGCGCGCGTGTTGTGGTATCTACACGCGCGGGTGGATATTGCAACCGTGTACGCATATAAGCATCAAGTACGCGTTCAAACCTTGGCGGTGTTCGTGTATTTGTTCCTGGAAAGGGAAAAGATGTGAAATATGCATCTGGCAATGCGGGGACTGCCAAACCTGCTCGGCACAGAGGGGAGACATGGGAAGGGACAACGCGAGGAGTGGTGACCGCAGCTGCTACAAACTTCATGGTCAGCGTCATCGGGAACATGCTCGCCGGAAAAGAGCTCGGCCCGTCGGGGAATGCTGCCCGCACCTCCGACGCGCTGTAAGACCTGCGGGGTCGGAGGTGCGGGTATCGAGGGCCTCCTCCTCCGCCTCCCTCCTCCCTTCTCAACCACCTCCCCGCCTTTCTCGTCCTTTGGCTAAGCTCTGCAACATAAATGAGCAACGCCAGCGCAGCCCCTGCAGAGCAGCTCAACACTGGATCCAGGGGTGGGCTACCGTCGGGGCAACGACTTACTCGTGGCGTGGTCCCGTGCAGTGTCCGACGCGATTGGATGGGGGAGGGTGCATGACGCACGTACTCCCTGCTGTCGCGCTTAGTCTTGCTGAGGTCTCGGGGACTCAGTGGCTTGGATCTGTGTGTGTGCGCGTGGGCTCCGAGGGTTCCATGCTCGAGCCGACAGCTGTCGCCAAGAAACGTTCCTTACCGTCGCGCAAGCGCGCATCAGGGCGCGCAGACTTGTACGGGAATTGTGGAAGGGGGCGCACAAACACTCTTCGAGTCGCCTTGTGCAATGATTCACTTGTCGCGCGCAGCGTGCACGCGCAATCATGCCTACGTGATTCCTTTATGGGCATCGGCCGTTACTGCCTCAACAAATCTGACAACACCTCTCATTACCTCGACAAGTAGTACATCTTGAAACACCGATTACAAATAATGCGAGCGCGAAAGCCTGGACGACTGGCCTCCTAAACAAAGCATGCGGGACAGTCATTCACCGAGGGCACTCCAGCTCGCAGTCAGTTCTGAATCAGATGTGCTGGTGGTGTGCGTGTGTTTGCCAACCTTGCTAGATGCTGGCGGGTGCAATCGAATATCGTTCGAGCATAATGGTCCAGTTGTAAGACGAGGTTGGAAAGATGAATCGCCTTGGTAGAATACTCAGGGCCTCCCCTTCAGTGCATACCGAATGTTAAGACAGCGAACGACAGCGGCAGCTATGACAGACGCGACTGCAGCCGAGAAGCTCCTGTACGCGACACTACATGAAAAAAAAACAACAACTCATGATACATCACATCGTACAACACGCCTTTTGCGCCACCGTGCCAAAGTGCTGCCTTCGAGTTCGGTGTTGAGTGCTGCACATAGTCTGTAAGGGGACAGGAATTCCAATTGCAGGACCTCTTAGGGCTTATCGCATGGCTTCTGGGGTACCGCATGACTGTTCCCGAGGTTGGAGAGCTCCAAGATGGACCAGAAAGCTCAAAAGAGCGCCCTAGAGTAATCCAAGAAGCCTCGATACGGCCCAAGAGCGTTCCGAGACGGCCCAAGACGGCCTCCAGACTGCCGAAGAGGCCCCAAGACGCCTCCATGACAGGCATCATTGATTGTCGATGCGTTTTCAAATGATTTGAGATTGCCTCCAAGACAGCCCCAAACGGCCCACAATTGTCAAATGATTTGAGATCGCCTCCAAGACGGCCTAATAGCCAGGCCAAGACGGTCCAAGATGGCCTCCAAGCCAGGCCAAGAGGGTTCAAGAGGTCTCCTCCAACTTCGCCCAATATGCCTCCAAGACATCCAAGACGGCCTAATAGGCCTCAAAACTGCCAAAGACGGTGTCAAGATGGCCCAAGGGGCCTCCAATAGGCCATGCAAGAGGGCCCGAACAGGATATACTCGCAGATGCCTTTCTGATGGCTTCAGTGACTTTCGTTTTCTCTGCTCCCGAAGCTGCAGACGGCACCAGAAGCCTCCAATATGGCTCCAAGAAACCAAGGAAGCCGCAAGACCGGCCAAGAGGCCCCTGGGGCGGTCCCGAGACGGCCCGAGAGATCTCCAAGACAGTGCTACAGCACCTCAGGAGGCCACCGAGACAGCAGAGAGAGGCACCCAAGGTCGCCTCCGAAGGCGTCCAATGGACCAACCACAGAGACTTTGCAGTGTTGCTTCCCCCCCTGCTTCTCTCTGCGAGAACACACCCGCCCCTCCTCCTCCTCCTCCAGCTCATCCTGCTCCTCCTCCTCCCCTCCTCCTCCTCCTACCCCTCCTCCTCCTCCTGCTCCTCCTCCTCGTCCTCCTCCTGCTCCTCCTCGTCTCACTCCTAAGGAAAAAAAGAAAGAGAAGGAGGAGGAGGAGGAGAAGGAGGAGAAGGACATCTTGAGGCGCTCGCGTCGCGGGCCGTCGATTAGTTTCCCACTATTGTTCGCCGTGCTGGATAATGTTCTGGGGTTCTTTCTCCCAGCGAATAATGCTCCCTGGGCGACCCTGCACGACAGAGGAATTTGAGCACGTTTGCAAGAGAATTGCAACAAAGTTCCAACTACAGGGAAGAGGGGGTTCTGAAGACCCGTCGGGGTTACGAGGTCCCTCAGACGGCCTACGTGGCTCCCGAGGGACCCCCAGAAACACCCAAGAGGGCTCTAGGAAGCCCCGCGGACCACCAGAGGCCCTCAGGAAGGCCACAGGAGGCCCCAAGACGGACCAAAGAGGCCTCCCCCTCGTCCTCGATCTCCTCCCTCTCCTCCTCCTCCTCCTCCTCCTCCTCCTCCTCATCTTCCATCTCCGTTTCCTGATAGATAACATATTCCTATCGCACCCCCATGCGTGTCGGTAGGGCGGGCCGGGCGTGTTGCCTGAGACTTCCTCGCCATTTATGACCCTCAAGATTCGAGTGTCACTTTCAACATGGTGCTCTCGCCTTAGCGCCGTGCACATTCGTTTTTCAAGCTTGCAATACTTTCAAAGGAGGAGGACGGCCCGTTTTCAAAACGGGGCTCTCGCCTTAGCGCAGTGCAGAGTCGTCTTACAAGCTTGGATCGGCTTGCTGGATGCAGGACGGGTCGTTTTCAAGGTGGAGCTCTCGTCGTAGCGCCGTGCACATTCGTCTTGAAAATTTGAAACAACTTCAAGAATGGAGCATGGGTCGTTTTCAAGATGGAGCCCTCGCCGTCGCGCCGCGCACATTCGTCGTACAAGTTTGCCACGCATGCACGGATGGAGGGCGGGTCGATTGTAAAATGGAACTCTCGTCTCAGCGCCGCACTCGCACTTTCGTCTTACAAGTTTGATAGTGGTGGATGGAGGACGGGTCGTTTTCAAGATGGGACTCTCGCCGTAGCGCCGCGCACATTCGTCGTACAAGTTTGAGGCAGCTTCAAAGAAGGACGGCGATTCGTGTTCAAGAGAGGGTTATCGCCTTTTCGCACCTCCGTCGTACACGTTGCGCATGCTTCAAGGATGGAGGGCGAGCCGTCGTCGAACTGGGGCTCTCGGATTAGCGCCGCGCACATTCGGTCTACAGACTTGCACCACTTACGCTGGTGGAAACAAGGCTCGTGTTCAAAACGCTTTCCGCTTGGGACCCCCGTGCACTAAAGCAGAAAGCTCTGAGCACATCTCACAGCTGCACGGCTGGAGGGCAGTTCCTTTTCACAATGGGCCCCTCGCGTGACACATCCTCGACGATTATGACCGGACGTGCAAACTTCTTCAACGGCTGCACCGACGAGACAGCCCATTGTCAGAGTGGTGACGACGCTGGACACTCCATTGACCTATATGCTCACACCTTGTCGCAAGGGATTCGTCGCTAGAACGATGCAAGGCAACTCCTTCTCAACAGCGGGGTCCTCGCCTAAATGGCAGACCCATCGACTGCGGGTCCTCCGAGGTGGAGATTCTGATAGTGAGAGGGCAGGCGTGTAGGGGCTCGTGAGGAGGGGGCTCTCGGGATGGGAGGGCGTCTTGCCGCATGCTTGGCGCATCTTGGGCTTGCTCGCGTCCTGCTCCTCATCTTCCTCGTGCTCCTCATGTTGTCCTTCCCCACGCGTCCCCCAAATATTCCCACCACGGCCGGGGGGAGAACACACAGTCTAACAGCTTGGCCAGACTTTGCCACAGCGTGTGGCCACTTAGGCGGTCACAGAAGTAGAAAGCGACGATGGCTCACCGTAGGCGTCGTCGACACGGCAGGAAGGTCGCTGAATCAATGCACAGTGCTGCCGCCCGAGGAGATACCTTGACAATCGAAACCAAGTGCAGCATGCTGGCCACGGACTCAACTCCAGCGTGATCCTTATCATGACTGCTTGTGTGTTCGTGTGTCCATGTCGCCTGTCGGGCCTGGGACAGTATACATCATGCGTGCCAAACAGTGTGCGGGACAGACTGTAGCTTGCAAGCTAGTGGCTGAAGGTAATGAGTAAGATTAGGCCGCTGATGAGTCAGCTTGGGACGAGTGAGAAAGTGTAAGACAAGGAGCCAGTTTGCAGTCTTCGGTACACCGGCCATTCCTACTCGCCCTCTCCATGTTGCTCTCCCACCTCGTCGCCACGTCTTCATCACATATGCTCACATTATGGATTTGAGGGGGTCTGATCAACAAACGCCTCCCGCCACATCTCCATCCGCCCCGCCGCTTAGAGGGTACACCCGGATCTGAACTAGGGACCCGCCAACCTGATGTCAGCAGCTCTAGCCGCTAGCCAATGTACCCATCTCATGTTACATCTCTATCATCCGGATGGGGTTCCCAAGACGGTGCGGTGACAGACCGTGCGGGGACCTGGGCATCCCGAAAGATCCCACCGCACGTTCAGTCGCCGCACGCCGACGTCGCCGCACGGCGTAGGCCCCACCCGTCCTACTCCGAGTTTCTTAATAAGCGTCGGGGGGGCGTCACCCCCGCCGACAGCCCCACATTGACCCCCGTCGCGGGCAGCCACCGCGCGCCGACAGCGCTCCGATTCCCGCCGCGACGCGACGACGAGGCGATGTTGACCCCCGTCGGGTGGGCACCTCCCCACGCTTATCATGACACCCGGAGTAGACATCCTGGGAGCACGACGCAAGTCCCAAAACCGTGCGGCCGCCCCGAATCCCCGACGGCCTCGCCACACGGCGCGGTCCCCGCACCCTCCGGTTTGGGGCCCCCGACCAGCGCGGCGAGCACAGGGGTCGGGGGCGCGCCTTCCGGAAGGGTCCGTCCAGACCATGTCGGCGCGCACGTCCTGCACCATACCTGCGCAGAGTGGCACGCCGGTCCCCTCCGAGCCTCGCGTTCATGCCGCGCCACTGGGGGAGGGGAGCGAGTGGCTCGGCTTCGCTGGAGGACTCCAGACCTCGGCCGAACGTGTGTGAGAAGGATTGCACGGTCGCTGAAGCCGTGACCTGTCGACAGTGGGCGGCGCGACAAGCAGCAGAATATTTAGGCAGACTAAAAAAGTTCTGCACGGGCATCAAGTAGGTAAGTGCACTTCAGTACGATGGGACCCCCGCGACAGAGCGGACGGAACGCGTCGAACCGAAGCTAGGAGTCCAAACCCTCCCGAACATCATCCTCAGCAAGGATCACGGAGGCGGCGAGAGGAGACGAGGCAGTGCGACGCGCAGACGTGGGCGCGGGCGCCGTGCCTGGTCAGTGAGGCCGCCCCTCGGCACACCAGAAGTGAACGACAAGGGCAGCCGCGCCTGGCCACGTCCAGGGGAGAGGAGAGGAGGGGCAGGGAGGACCGAGGGGGAGGAGGAGGAGGAGGAGGAGGAGGAGGAGGAGGAGGAGGAGGAGGAGGAGGAGGAGGAGGAGGAGGAGGAGGAGGAGGAGGAGGGAGGAGGAGGAGGAGGAGGAGGAGGAGGAGGAGGAGGGGGAGGGGAAGGAGGAGGAGGAGGAGGAGAGAGGAGGAGGAGGAGGAGGAGGAGGAGGAGGAGGAGAGGAGGAGGGGGGAGGGGGAGGAGAGGAAGAGGAGGAGGAGGAGGAGGAGGGGAGGAGGGGGAGGAGGAGGAGGAGGGAGGAGGAGGAGAGGAGGAGGAGGAGGAGGAGGAGGAGGGAGGAGGAGGAGAGGAGGAGGAGGAGGAGGAGGAGGAGGAGGAGGAGGAGGAGGAGGAGGAGGAGGAGGAGGAGGAGGGGGGGAGGAAGAAGGTGTCGCAGAGTGCCGAGGGGAGAAATGACGATAAAGTCACTCGTCGATTCTAAGAGATCTAGCATAACCACGCGCTTCACGCTCAGAGCTGCGGTGCAGCACAAAAGAGCAAGGTGGGCGGGGCCAGCGAGCGACGCGGGGTGGCGTTCGAATCGCTGAGCAGAGGCATGACCATGACCAGGAGGAGAGGAAGGGGAATAATGGGATCGGGAACAGGGACGGGATCAGGGTTAGCAGGACCAGGAGCGGGAGGACAGGATCAGAGAATGGAGGATGATGAGAGCTGTCGGATGGCTGAATTAGCCCGAGGTGGTCCAGGCTGGGCGCCAGCGCTACACTGATGCAAATTCCTGTGGGCAGTGCCTGGTGACAATGTGGAAGCCTGGAGCTCGGGGGAGCGGCAGTGGGACCTGGCTCAGGGGGAAACGTGCGATGGAAGCACGGATTCAAAATCGGAGATGCGTGGCCGATGTCTCGGCGATTAGCCGCTGAGCCCCCAAGTATGCCAGGGCAGGGTGGGCCACTCAGACCCACACCGACGATGCACGGGAAGTGAGGTGTCGACGTGTCCCTCTCGTTGGCCAAGATGCCCTCCTTCGCCCCTCCCGAGACGCACGCAAGGCGCCCCAGTGGCCAGTCGGGCAGACGCCCGCAGACGAGGTGGAGACGAAGCGGGCGACCAGCGCTTCATCCATAGGCGCACCGTCGCTCGGGCCAGCCCTCTGCGAGTGGGCGGCCTGGGGGCACGGAAAAAAGACACGACTTCTGGAGACCACGTGCCCTGTCTGCACCCTGCCCAACCTGGCGCCCAGTGGGGGGCAGCAGCAGGGCTGCAGTGGAGGCCAGTCCACAAGAAACCTTCCACAAGAAACCCACCACGGAGAGCCCAGGGCGTCCACTGATTTTCGGTGTGGGAACGTCACGCTTTCCATCGCAAAACCATCGAAACCCACGAAACCCAGCTCTTGGCATGGGTCTCCACAGATTGACAGGCTCAACTCGCGATGGCGTCGATCTTGGTTTCTGACACCGCGTGGACCGTTCAACCTTGGAGCAGTCGCGCCATTCGATCTTGTGCCGGGGGCGCGCAACCATGGACCAGCGATCCATGGATTTGGCGCGCGGTCGCCGAATCCATGGATCGGGGGAAGTGCCCTCCCGAAAGCGCGGCCGGTGCCGCCTCGCTGGGCGGCGGAAGCCCGTGATGTCCCATGGAAACGGGGCCCAGCGCTAATCCACGCCCCCGTTGATCCGTGTTTGCGATCGCCTGGTTTAGTGCCTCGGACCACACGATGGACTGCGTTGGCGATCCAGTTGCCTGGCGCGAATACGTAGCCAAGGTTGCGTATGCCCCTCCGGGCCCTCCTGCTCCTCCCCCCCCCGCCCCCTTGATCCATGTCTGCGATCGCCCGACTGTGGGTCTGCGCTGGACCCCCCTTTCCTGGCGCGCGGAGCGAGCCGTGGGCGGCGCCGGAGGTGCCGCCAGGGAGGGTCTAGCGCCGACCCGAGAAATCCGCACAGACCTCCGACGGGCTCGGCTTGCAGTCGAACCTACAGTCATCGGCCTGACCTAAGGGACGATGAATAGGGAACGAAACCCCTGTTTTCCTGGGAATAACGCATCAGGAACGATAAACAATGAATAACGTATACGGAATGACAAATGACGCATGCAAACCCAAGGAACGACCGAGCCCCTTTTGAGAAATTAGTGTTCCATATTCAAGCCGCCTGTAGGACAGAAAATCATCCCTCAAGAGCACGAGAACTCCCGCCGGCCAGCACGCACAGAACATCCAAGGGTACCCTCCCCAGGGTGCACAAGAGAATCCCACAAACACGAAGAGCATCAGAGTACCCTACACGAACCGACCCCGATCTCATACCTCGGTCCGACTGTATGATGTTTTCCTTCTTCAGTGGTGGGCGGGCAGTAGAAGCAGCAGCAGCAGGGGCATGGATCGAACGACGATCGCCGAGAAGGAAGGAGGGGCGGCGGCAGCGTTCCCCAGAGGGGGGGGTGGGGCGCTCTCGGTCAGCCCCGCGGCCAGGAAGCTGGCGCGCGTCCGCTGGTGCAGGCTCCCAACGTCCTGAGGGCCTGCAGGCACTCTGGGGGGGGGGTCCTCCTCCCTCATCCCTCCGGAACTCTCCCCCTCCCTCCCCCCTCCCCCTCGTCCTCCCTTCATCCTTTTCCCTTTGTGCACAGCTCACCCCTGTCGCACCAACAGCCATGTCTGTAGGCGGGGCAGGCGTATCGCTTGAGACTTCCTTTGAACTCACTTCCCTGAAACTAAAAAACTCCAGAAGATGCAATATTGAGGGCCAAGTGCTTCCAACATGTGGCTCTCGACTGCGCACCGCGCACATGCGATCGAACGATCGAACGACTTCCGACAATTACAAAGATGGGGGGGGGGATAGTCATTTCCAACATGCGGTTTTCCCATGGACGTCGTGCGTATTCGTTATACAGGCTTCCACCAGCTAGAAATATGGAACATGAAGAACTGGCCGTGTCCGAAATGTGGCTCTCGCCGTAATGCCGCACACACTAGTTTTTTGAATTTCCAACAATGGCATGGCTTAGGACGTCCTCAGCATCTATGGCCGGGGCTTCCAAGAATAGAAGGCTGCTCGTTTTCAACATTTTGATCGCGCTTGACACACCCGCAACTTGTATGATCAGACTGCTGAACCTGTAAAGCACATACACAAGTGGGGGGCAAAATCCTTCCGAAAACGGGGATGTCGCTCGGCAGTTCCTCTTTTCTCCGTTTCCCCGAGAACAGCTTGCACTTGGGGCTTTCTACTTCTCGTCTAAGGTACGTTCCCGTCAGTCGCCGCTCCATCTCCCAATCACAAACCGTGTGCGGCCTCGGCGGCCTCGTTCCGCCTGTCGCCACCAGCCCGTTGCACCCCCCCCTCAGTCGCAGTGGTAGCGCATTGCGTTGCAACAGCATTGCATCGCATTGCTTTGAACTGATTTGCGTTGGCTTGAAATCGCATTGCATCGCGCTGCTTTTGGAAGTGCGTTGCGCTACTCTGCATGGTCTTGACTGCGTTGACCTGCTTTGTGCTGCATTACATTGGTTTGCCTTGCGCTGCACTGCTTTGCATTGCGTTGCATTGCTTTGCATCATAATCGTTTTGCTGTTGCATTGCGCTGCTTTGCAGTAAGTGTCATTGACTTGCATTGCGTTGCATTGCTTGCACTGGTGCCTTATTAAAGATGCATTGCTTTGTATTCATTCTCGGTGTCTTCAATGATTTGTAGAGCTGTGCATTGTTCTGCATTGATGTGGATTGCTTTGCATTGCGTTGCAGTGCTTCGCATTGGTTTGCATTTCTTCGCACTGCGTTTCATTGCTTTGCATTGCGTTTCATTGCTTTGCATTGCGTAAGTTTGCATTGCTTGGCACCATATAGATTACACTACATGGATTACAACACCTAGAGGGCACCACACTGATTGCACCACCTAGTTTGCACCGCAGAGTGCAAGAAACCACTGTGTGAAGCCCACGCTGGCTAACATCCATGCCTTCCAGCTAGAGAGATGGATGGTAAATCCATTACAAAAATGAGGTCTCGCCTGAAAGGCGGTCATTCAAGAGGGGCGCTTCCAGCAGTGAAAAAGAATACAGCTTGAGTTGTTGCTCGGACTACAGTCGCTGCGGGAAGGACGAGGCCCTTGCCTGGAATGCCACAGGATGTCTTGCGATGGCTGGAATTGTGACCCAGGGTTGGGCTGACTTGTCATGTGTTGTTTATGGGCTGTCATGTACAGCTGCATCCCCGACGATACACATATTGGCCTGCCAGCAAGCACCGGCGTACTAGTCAATCGGAGTCTGAATCCTTGAGTGGTGCGCTGGCGCCTGGCATACGGAGTGGACTACGTGCACTAAGTGTACATCGACTTTGCAAGAGTTCAACATAAACGTAGCGCCTAGCATCAGACGATGGGTGAGTTGGTCTCCGCTCGGCTGCGACCAACCCGCAGAGGCAAGGCGCAGATGCGTTCACACCGTTGCTCAGACTCATGCTTGCATGGGCGCATCCCTTCCTTGTCTGTGACAAGAGTTTCTCGCGTCATTACGTGGCACGCTTGCTTGCGTGCAGTCGGACTTACTGCTGCTGTGTCGCTTGCAAGTTGACCGATGCAATGTTCTGACAGATGGTTCGATACTTCGTCGTCCCTTTAATCGTCCTCATCCCTCCTTTCCTCCACCCCTCATCCGACTCCTTCCTTCTCCTCCTCCGCCTCCTCCTTCTCCTTCGTCCTCGTGCCTGTCCCCCTCCCCCGCCTACTCCTCCTCCCAGCCCCCACTTCTCCCCCTCCCCCGTCCAGCCTCCTCCTCCCCTCCTCCTTCCATCGGCATGCAATCGGAATGAGCTGGTGGCATCCTCCTCCTCCTCCTCCTCCTCCTCCTCCTAAACACCACCATCATCATCAGCAGCATCATAATCAGCATCAGCATCAGCATCAGCATCAGCATCAACATCATCATCATCATCAGCATCACCATCGTCATCATAACCATCATCAGTTGCATCGCCCTCATAATCATCAGCAGCATCAGCATCACCAGTATCATCATTATCATCAACAGCATCATCAGCAGCATCAGCATTAGTGTTGATATTATGATTGAGGCTTGTACCATTATATTCAGTACCATCACCATCATCAACATCGTCATCACCATCATCATCAACATCATCAATACCGGAATCGTCATCATCAGCATCATCATAATCCTCAGCATCGCCAACACCCGCATCATGCACAGTATCAGCATAAGCATCAACATCAACAACACCAACATCACTATTAACATCCGCATCCGCACCATCATCCTCGTCATACTCATAAGCATCATCCACATCATCCTCATCCGCATCTTCACCATCACCCGCATCATCATCATCCTCATAGTCAGTGTCAGCATCACCGTCAGCAACATCAACATCATCAGCATCAGCGTCGTCATCAGCATCATCATCATCATCATCATCATCATCATCATCATCATCATCATCATCCGCATCATCATCATAATCGTCGTCATCATCATCATCTTCATCATCATCATCTTCAACCGCATCATCGTCGTCGCCATCATCATCATCATCAGCATCGTCGTCATCACCATCAGCAGCATCAGCATCATCACCATCACCACCATCGGCATCATCGTCAGCATCAGCAGCAGCATCAGTAGCAGACTGAGCATCAGCATCAGCATCGGCATCAGCATCACCATCCCTCTCTTGGTTCGAAAATGCCTTCCATCGAGCAGGTTGTCTGGAGATACGCAGAGCAGCACAACAGGGTAAGGACCAGAAGCCAGGTCGCCCCCCCACGCCTCCTGCCCTCAAAGGCAGATCGCGCGAACGAACATAAGTGCGCCTGCCTTTTTACATGTTCGGCTTCTGTTCGGGCCCCGACCCTGCCAAAACTGGCATCGGGGGAGGGCGACTCAAAGAAATCGGGTCGTCGGTGCCTGGGTTTCTGTTCCAACCTACTTTAGCCCTGATCACCAGGAATAATTTCGAGCACCAAGAAAGTACCGAAATGGGAGGGCCTCATGTGTCGGGCCCTGAGAGGCCATACTTGTTCGACACTGTTTCGATACTTTCCTGGGTGCTCGACATTACTTCTGGTATGTGGTCCTGAAGTACGATGGGAGTAACATAAGTCCAGGTCCTCAACGCACTCTGCGGGCAGAAGCGAACACACGATGAACAGACACCATCATCTGGGCCGCCCGACCTCAACCGCCCGTGAACGTCGTACGGCCATCACTCGGACGGAGGGGCTGACAACGAGCACGGGTCCTTCAAAGACCGCAACAATCCACCCCAGAAAGGCGTCCTCCGTCACATTTCTGCTCTCTCTCCTCCCCCCTCGTCCTCATCCTCCAGCTGCCCATCGTCCTCCTCCTCCTCCTCCTCCTCCTCCTCCTCCTCCCTGTTGCATTCACCTCCTGCAGCTGCTCCTCATCCTCCTCCTTCTCCTCCCCTTCCTCCCCCTCCTCCTATTGAAGGCTTGAGACACAATTGCATCGGCTTGACATCGAAGAGAGGTTTGAGTGGCAAGCTGCCACATAACGTTCCCAGCCTCATCGAGTTAAATTGCCTGCGCAAGGAAGAAAGGGGCAGAGAGGTAGAACACTGGTCAACAAAGCGCAATGACAAGGAACACCTACCGCAAAACGTGTCCGAATCAACCTCGATGGAGAAGCCGCATAAGTGCGGCCGGAATGTTTGACACCCTGAACGCTGGAAGTCTATGTGGTTTGCGAAGGACTCGGCGACATTGCCGAGGTCTGGTCCTTTACCTGCATGAAAGCTCGCTCCCAGGTAGGTCGACTGCTGGCCTTTCTCCAGCACTGCAAGCGGCTTGTCAGGCACCAGAAGAAACAGCACACGCAGATGTGAGTTCCCTGGGATTCGTGACACCACATTGGTGACGTCAGCGAGGGGCTCGCAGTCTGTGACGAAACAGAGCTGCCCCTCCCGGCACCGGGGCGCCCTCGCCGTGCGCAGTGGCCAGCTCGCAGAGCTGTGCATGCCCAGGCAAATGCGACATGCAAGAACCTGCTGCGCGCCCAGCTCGATCTAGCCTTAAGTCGGGTCTGTCCTCCTACAGGGGGATTTTGGACGAAAAATAAAAGCAGTCAAACAATACACCAAAATGGCAAAACAAAAAAAACAAAAACCGTCCCCAGACTATGTTTAAACTATTTTTGAATATTCCTCCTACAGAGGGACAGGCCCGACTTAAATCTAGCCCGAGATAGCCTGTACTGGGCGCAGAGAGGGCTTCCGAAGCCCATGTCGTGCTGCTTTCGCTGGGCCTGCTTTGTTTTGCGTAAATGCACTGGTACATCTTCCAGGGCAGCCCTGAAACGTCTACGAAGAGCTCTTCCCGCTCGGTCCAGTATCCCATGCCAGCGTGCACGTGCACGAATTGTCGACGACTGCACCGCCCTGGCTGCCTCCCACAATCGCTGGGTCCAGAAAAAGCCATCGCATCACTGACTGCATGTGCAAATACTCGTCCTGTAGTACTCGCTCTTGCCGTACTTAACCCATCCTAAG